TCCCAAAATTGAATCTCCTGTGCAGGTCCCTTGACCTTACTCTGTTTCATGGCAAAACCGGCTTTCAGCAGGATTTGGATTATTTTCCTCCCTTTCTCAAAGACTTCTTCCGCTGTATCGCCCCACACAATAATGTCATCAATGTATTACAGGTGTTCTGGAGCTTGCCCCTGTTCCAGTGCAGTCTGGATCAGTCCGTGGCAAATGGTAGGGCTGTGTTTCCACCCCTGGGGCAGTCGGTTCCAAGTGAACTGGACACCCCTCCAAGTAAAAGCAAACTGTGGCCTGCACTCTGCTGCCAAAGGAATTGAGAAAAATGCATTGGCAATATCAATCGTGGCGTACCACTTGGCTGCCTTTGACTCTAGTTCATACTGAAGTTCTAGCATGTCCGGTACGGCAGCACTCAAGGGTGGTGTGACTTCATTCAGGCCACGATAGTCTACTGTTAGTCTCCATTCTCCATTAGACTTTCGCACTGGCCATATGGGGCTATTAAAGGGTGAGCGGGTCCTGCTGATCACCCCCTGACTCTCCAGTCTACAGATCAGCTGATGGATGGGAATCAGGGAGTCTCGGTTGGTGCGATATTGCCGCCGGTGCACTGTTGTGGTCGCAACTTTCAGCACCCCACAGCAGAGGGATCTTCTGAGAGACCAGGCAAGGTGGACAGCTGCTCAATTTCCTCAGTCTCCAAAGCAGCAATACCAAAAGCCCACCGGTACCCTTCTGGGTCTTTGAAGTACCCTCTCTTGAGGTAGTCTATGCCGAGGATGCATGAGCCTCTGGACCAGTCACAATAGGGTGCTTTTGCCATTCCCTCCCAGTCAGGCTGATTTCAGCCTCCAGCACAGTCAACTCTTGGGATTCTCCTGTCACTCCAGAAATATAGATGGGTTCCACCCCTTGACAGCTTGATGGCATCAGGGTACACTGTGCACCGGTATCTACTAGAGACTTATACTTCTGTGGGACTGATGTGCCAGGCCATCTGATCCACACAGTCCAGTAAATCCGATTGTCCCCTACCTCCACCTGGCTGGAGGCAGGGCCCCTCTAATGGTCATCACAGCATTGGACACTTAAGTCGTGTTGAAAGGGATTATTCTTTGTTATCACAGGAGCTGGAGTAAAATCAGCTCTTCCATTCCATCTGGGAAACTGCTCACCAGAGACTGAAGCTGTAGCTCTCATGGGACGATCAGTCTTGGCCCTTGCTCCCCTCTTCAGTTCACTCACCCGTTCCTCCAAAGCTGAAGTAGGTTTTCCATCCCACTTTGTCATGTCTTCTCTGTGATCCCACAGGTAAAACCATAGGGTAGCCCGTGGCGTATACCTCCTGTATCTCCTCTCTTGAACAATAGGACGCCTTTTGTTAATAACTGAGACGTGTGTTGGTACACGTGAGGAGCTGGATAAATCAGATAGATTGTCCCTCAATTGTTTGAGGTCCTGGGACAGTTTTTCCACAGCTGAGATGATGGAAGGGGTGAGATTGCCTTCGAACTCTCGGAGTTTATGAACCATTTCATCCACTGTTAGTGGTACTATGTCATTCCAGGTTACTGTTGCCAATGAATGGGCATATGATGACGGTGCATTCCGTGTAAGTTTTCATCACATGGGTCGTGTACATTCAACTTCATCTGGATCTATGGGTGTATCCCTGTTATTCGGCTTGATGTGATAGATCATCTCTACGATGGCCGATTCCCTCAGAGACTGGATGCCTTTGTCTATAGTAGTCCACTTGGCCGAACGACTTGTAACATCATCCTTGTAGGGAAACCTTTCTTTCACAGCTGCCAAGAGCCTCCTCCAAAGGCTGAGGGACTTTTTCTCTCTTGCAATTGCTTTGTCAATTCCCCCTTCTCTAGCAAGTGATCCCAGCTGCTTGGCTTCTGTACCTTCTAGTTTGTGACCATCGGCCCCATTGTCCCAGCATTGGATTAACCAGGTGATGATGTGCTCCCCTGGTTGACGGGTAAAATCTTTTTGCATATTCCGCAGCTCGGTTGAGGTCCGAGGTCAAGAAGTTACCTCTTCTTCTTCTTCTTCGTCATGTGATGATGACTCCTGATCAGATTCTGGACCGGGTGGTGAATTCATTGGTTCTTCATCTCACTTCACCTTTCTTGCCTCCTTTTTGCTTGTTCTCTTGCATACAGGGGCAACCAATATTGGTACGAATTGGTCCTCTGGTTTGGCTGCAGTGATTATCACTGTGGTTTGAGTAGCAACTGTACTTGTTGCTGGGGGTGGTGCAGCTGCTGTGCTTGGAGCTGGGGTAACCACGCTATGTGTTGCAGTCGAAGTTTGAGCAGCTGCTGTACCTGACACTGGGGTAGCTGCACTGTTCATTGCAGCCAAAGTTTGAGTAGCGACTGTTGCTTTGCCCTCAGATCCACCGACATTCTTTTCCTTTTGAAGGTGCTGGATAGTGTTGAACAAGGCCCTGTAAGCATAGGCCAAAACCCAGCACGTTGCCATGATTTGTCCACCTCTGGTATGGCCAGAATGACCACACACCTCATTTAAGTGTTTTACTAATTCTTCTGGATTTTGCAGTTGTTCGGTAGTGAAATTCCAAAGTACTGGAGGGCCCCACTGACCTAGATACTTGCCCATACTATCCCACACAACCCTGCTACTCATGGCTGTCCAGCCTCAGGGAAAATCTCTTGGTCCTCCTACATGGTCGTTTGACCCCAGACAAGACCCAAACCTGACTCTGCTTAACTCTTGAAATCAGTCGTGGGCAAAACACACTCTGTATGCGTGCTAGCATGGTGATTCCCATCACCATCAGCAAACAAGTCCCAACAGCATTAAAAGGCCATTCAAACACTTCAAAACTCTCAAATGTAAATGGTCTGGGGGGACGACTGGGAGGGTAAAAGGATGTCTCCTTCACAGGTTGAGCACCTGAAAAGGAGAAAAAAGATGTGTAATTGCTAAGCACTTGTATTATATACCTCCCAAAGTATAAAGGTGGTGACCACACTGGGAACATAAGCCAGATCAATTTCATGATCAATGATTCTATTGTATTACAAGTCATTACCATAAAGTACAATGGGACAAAAACCTTAGCCCAAGCCCCACACTTGAAAAACACTAATCCAGCAAATACCAGATGGATGTAAGATACGATATACTGAAACTGTGAGATCAAGAGGAACAACCTTGAGAGCCAATAAATCAGCATTGTGACGAGTGACTACCAATCCAGTCAGATCTGTTCTTATCTCAACCCCTCGTGCCCCACGTTGGGCACCAAAAAGAACTGTCGTGGTTTAAACCCAGTCAGGCAACTTGTTCACTCACTCCCAGTGAGTGGTGCTGGGCTGAGAGCAATCGAGGCACACCCCCCCCCCCCCCCCCCCCTCCCCCCAGGGCTCTTTCCTTCCCCGCTCCTGGAGGAACAGGGAGGAGGATCGAAAGGGTGCAACTCCTACGGGTTGAGACAAGAACAGTCCAGCAACCAATGTACAACACAAATCACCACCGCTACCACCAACGACAACAATGATAAGAGAAAATAACAAGGGAAGAGAATACGATACCACCGGCCAAGAAACGAGTCCCACCCGGAAGCCCGTGTCCTTCCGGCTAACTCCCAGTTACCCCCCACCCCGGGCATGACGTGCTGTGGTATGGAATACCTCCTTGGCTAGCCTGGGTCAGGCGCCCCATCTCTGCTTCCTCACCGCTTCCCCTCCTCCCTGGCAGAGCATGAGCCTCACAAAGTCCTTGGTCACGGTAAACATCAGCAACAACTGAAAATATCGGTTTCACCAACATTGTTCCCAGGCTGGAAGTCAAAACACAGCACTGCACCAGCTACCAGGAAGGAGAAACATGACTGCTACTGCTGAACCCAGGACATGCATATTATAGGATTAAAACCAAGTAATGGGTAATATCAGCAAGCCTGAGCAGCTAGCTGGAATTCTAACTCAATCAGGCAGCATTTGAGAAAGCCTCCTCTCTTTGAAAACTCTCTGTTCTTTTCTCAGAAGAAAATCCACAACTCTTTTCCTCCACAGTACTAACTTCCAGCTGTAAATAGTGAGGTACCACAGAGCCTGCACCTAAAAAGCACAGACTCCAGCCAGCAGCCTTGACTGCAGCAAGCCTGTGCTCTGTAGGGCCAAGAGAAAGGTGCTTGAGGTTGGCTTTGGTTACTGGAGACCAGCAGAGCTGATGACAGTTGGGGAAATAATGGAAATAAGTATTCATTGTTGAAAGTTCTGTAATTTAAATAATACTCAGACGGGTCTTTGTTCGTAACTTAAATGCTTCAAATTAGAGGTATACACGTCACTAATGTTCCCACTAGCATCAAGAGGGCATTTGTCAAAGGCTTCAGTGGGAACCATTATTATCCCTTAATGATTTTACCATTACAAGACTTACCTATTTTACTATTGCAAATCATAACCCACAATCAAATCAACAAAATGTGACAAAATCAAGGTGTAGGAGCTCAGGAAGTCTTGGCAATCACCGCTTTTGTCTGCCGGAAATGAAGAGCCCTTCTCTGGTTTCTGTTTCTGCTGTTATGAGTCAGATTGTATTGCAGTATGTTCTGTTAAATCAATCACACTGTAAAATACATTAACACTAATCACTCCAAAAATCTTTTTCATGTAATTTTAGGATGACAATGACACAAAGCAATCAAAGAAAGACCACTGACATATACAGCTAATGCTAGTATATAGTCTTTCAGAGTTATAGCCCAAATGGTAGTTGCACATTCCATTGTATTTTTCCTCCTACATCATACCCATTACAATGGCACCAGTGACAAAGAGTAGCACTACTAGGATCTATCAGCAGCTCAAAGTTTCTCAAAGGAGGAAACCTGCTAGTGCATATTTAATATTTAGTTTCTAATTACTCCCTTAATTTGTGACTCTGTTGTCACATGTGATTTTATGATACTTGCAAAAATCAAAGAAAGCATGTCTTGTTGTTCCAGTACAAATTGTGAGGTATGGTGTTCAGCGGCTGTCTTCTTCAGAAAAGGGAGGTGTTTCTCAGAAAATCTTTCCATTGAGTCCAGAACAAGAAATGGAAGTTGGTAATCAAGATTTCAATTCTCCAGTGTTTCTAGAACAGAGACAGGAGTGTATGAAATTTGAATACAGCTGCATTAGTTCTCCCTCTACCCCACTGAAAAACAAGAAGTTCATAGGTTATTATCATATAGAGTTCTCCAGGTACAACTAATCATTCATCATGTACTTGTTCTGATAATCAGCTACTTAGTGCTATGCAGCAGCTTATTAAAACTCTTACTATATATTGTAATGAGCTTGCTATACATCTGGTTGCAATATGGGCAAAAAGACAGAGAACTTCTATTTTGTAAAGTAAAAAAAAAAAAAAAAAAAAAATTAATATACTCAAAACCCGGGCCTGCATGTCTGGAAAATCAGTAGAACACATAAAAACTTAAAAAAAAAAAGGAAATAAGCAAACATACATGAACAAATGAAAAGTTTAATTAACACCAGAAAGTAAAGATGGATTCTGCACATTTTTCATGATCAAGTGACCTGGAAAAAGAGAGTGTCATGGTTTAAACCCAGCCTGTCACTCAGAAACCATGGAGCTGTTTACCCACTCCTCCTCCTTCTTCCCCCCGCTCCCAGAGGGATGGGGAGGAGAATCGAAAGAATGCAATTCCCACAGGTTGAGATAAGAACAGTTCAGTAACTAAGGTATAACACAAATCACTGCTGCTACCACCAATAATAATATTGATAAGGGAAATAACAAGGGAAGAGAATACAACCTCTCACCACCCGCCGACTGATACCCAGGCTGACCTGAGCAGCAACCTAGCCCTTACGGGTAACTGCTGTGGTATGGAATACCTCTTTGGTCAGTTTGGGTCAGGTGTCCTGTCTCTGCTTCCTCCTGGCTTCCCCTCCTCCCTGCCAGAGCATGAGACTCACAAAGTCCTTGGTCAGAGTAAACATTACTGAACAGCAATTAAAACCATCGGTGTTATCAGCGCTGTTCCCAGGCTGAAAGTCAAAACCAGAGCACTGCACCAGCTACTAAGAAGGAGAAAAATGACTGCTACTGCTGAACCCAGGACAGTATTCACCCCTTAATCCATACCATTCACGTCATGCTGAGATCTCACATTCTCCCATATGAAGACAGGCTGAGGAAGCTGGGGCTGTTCAGCCTGGAGAAAAGAAGGCTGCGTGGAGATCTCATAGCAGCCTTCCAGTATCTGAAGGGGGACTATAGGGATGTTGGAGACGGACTCTTCATTAGAGACTGTAGCGACAGGACAAGGGGTAATGGGTTGAAACTCAAACAGGGGAAGTTTAGGTTGGATATAAGAAGGAAATTCTTTCCTGTTAGGGTGGTGAGGCACTGGAATAGGTTGCCCAGGGAGGTTGTGAATGCTCCATCCCTGGCAGTGTTCAAGACCAGGTTGGATGAGGCCTTGGGTGATATGATTTAGCGTAAGGTGTCCCTGCCCATGGCACGGGGGTTGGAACTAGATGATCTTAAGGTCCTTTCCAACCTTAACTATTCTATGATTTTATGATTTTCAATATACCGTCACTTTTATCTCATATAGATGCATATATATACATACACACGCACACACACACACACAGAGATCATTCCTTAGTGATGGACCAATCCCTATAAAGCTGCTGAGTCCATTCGGTCCATGATGTTGGGCTCCATCTCTTAACGGTCTTTTAGAGCAGGAGAGGCTGTGTGCAGTGCTGGATCGTTGTCTACTGATGCTGATCGTTCATTTACCACAGAACTTTGTCTGGTTTCATCAAGGTTCATTCTTTGTTGGGATGATGGTCGGAGGGAAGTCAGGGCCAGTCGCTGATGATCTGAAGAATTCTAGTTGGTGGACTATAAAAGTACTACATAGCAAGCAGCAGCATACAATTGAGTTCATTGGCTGTTTTCCCCTAAAATCAAATCCCCTTGAGGTATACATCGGACTTCCCCATCTTCCCGCATTACCCACCAAGTATATCCAGGTCCCTGAGCAAAAGCAATCCCACGAGTGGGTTTGCCTTTACCTGAAGCAGGAATTACCCAGACTGTCTTCCCCAGCAAATTCTTCATATGCACCATGGGAACTTTGTCCCCCTCTACAATATGTAAAAGTTCTGACTGGGCTGGGCTAACCCTGTTGGCAGATCCTCTGGTGTTGACCAACCAGGTGGCTTTTGGTAAATGTGTATCACAGTGTTTGAAAGTTCCCCCACCCATTGCTCTCAGTGTAGTTTTTAACAGCCCATTGTACTGTTTGATTTTCCCAGAGGCTGGTGCATGGTAGGGGATGTGATATACCCACTCAATGCCATGCTCTTTGGCCCAAATATCTATAAGGCTGCTCTGGAAATGAGTCCCATTGTCTGACTCAATTCTCTCTGGCGTGCCATGTCTCCACAAAATCTGTTTTTCAAGGCCCAGGATAGTGTTCCAGGCAGTGGTGTGAGGCACAGCATATGTTTCCAGCCATCAACTCACATAAAACCTTGAATGGTTATAAAGTGTTTACAGTACAGATGAGAAAAAAACAAGTTCAAATAACAAATTAAGTAATTAAAATTGAGAAAGTAACTTCAAAAAAGATCTTACAACAGAAATTCTGGAAATTATATGCATGATGATATTTGACATTTTAGTTACACAAAGACACATAATTTTCCCCTCATCAATTTATATTTCTTCTTCTTTTACAGTTATTTAGCTGCTATGTTATCTCAGACATGATAACTATTTTTTTCACCTTTGGTCATTAGTATTTGCATGTCCATGGCTCCAGACACCTATAGGATGCCCATATTTGAGATAAAGTATCTACAAAAGACAACGGAGAATTCTGGTTCAGAGAGGCAACAACCTAAAACTTTCATCCAGCAAAGACACTCTCTTTTCAGAAGAAAGTGACAGGTGAAAAAGGCTACTCACAACTGGACCTACATGACTTTATTTTGTAGGAGCATTACAGACCTTTCCCTGCCTGTTTTGAATAGCTTTCAAACAAGGATTATATATGTATGCCAGTAAAACACTTCCTCCCCCAGGTAACTGTCTTTGGACTAGCCTGCATGTTCCCACAGGAAAAAGTTTTCATGTTTCCGTCCTTGCACCACCCTGAAATTACTTGGAAGGTATGGTTCCCATACCAATTCCAGAACTTCTAAATTTTGCCTGAGTTTCTGAAAATTGTGTACCCCAAATTGTAAGACTGAAAGAGAATCAATACAATTTTTTTCTCATAGTTACAGAGCAAAGTTACTCACTTCAGTTTTCCTCAATTCTGGCAATTCAGGGCACCATAAGTCATTATTCTCTCTTACCAACTACTGTTCCAAAGCACATATCTCCATAAGGGGAAATAAAATACTTCTACAAACTCATCTTTCAAGACCCAAGAGAACTGTCTCACTGAGAGAGCTTCTTGACATGACACAAAGAAAAACCCTCAACATAATCACTGCAGAGCAATCTGAAAATGTAATCATACTCTAGACTTGTCACTTCTGTTTCTGAGACAGGCAAGTACATTTCTGACATTTAGGGCCTGTTACTGCTGCCACTGAAGTTAAAGAGAAACTCTCATTTGACTTGAACAGGCACAGACTATTATGCTACAGATCAGAGCTATCGTAAAAGAGCAAAGATCTTCCTCTGAAGGACAGATACACACATAGGTGAGCTGCTGCTCTTCTTCAGCTGTTCTACAAACTATATTGCATGGTTTCACGAAACAGAGAGAGACAAGCAGTAATAGGATCCTCGTGAGAGGAACCAAATTAAATTTTCCTAAGATTATTTTACCTTCCCTGTTTCCCCTAGATAAATAAATAAACAAAAGGAGGAGAACAAAACAAGTTTATTCTAGTGCTTGACTAATTAACAGTACTAATTAGAGTTTAATGGCAATGATAATCATATCCTTCTGAGTCTACTGAGGTTGCCACATCAGATGGATTGCAATGTTACCCCTCCCTCTATGAACTTAAATCAATATCACTTCAAACCTAAAAGGGTCGTTTCATGAAAAGTGATCAGAGAGCCACCTTCCATTTCTGTGCTAAAATGATAAAATCAAAAGCCTTTTGAGTGGTGGGAGGAGAAAGGATAAAGCACTACTTTGAGTAACAAAATCAGTAAATGAAGCTCCTTACTGTCCCATATAAACATCATGTTTAGGTTTTCATTTGAAGTAGTCAAATATGAACAATCCCCAAGCTAATATTCACAGCCTCTATGCAACTAGAATGTTTCTAATAAAAACACAGAAATACAGAATAATTAAGTTAGTGAGGACCTTCGTATTCCAATCTACCATTCCAAGTAGAGCTATCAAGAAAAGTTTACTCATGGCTTTGTCTAGCTAAACATTGAATACCTCCAGGGATGGGGAGCCCACCCTCCAGATACGTATTCCAGTGTTTGATAACCTTCATGAGGAAAAAAAAAATTTTCTTATATCAAATAGGAATCTCATTGCAACTTGTGTTACTCAGGGAAAGGCATCAGACACCCCCCTATAGCTCAAGGACTGGATGGCAGCACCCTCTCACTGGAGTCTTATATGGGTCGAGACCTTGCCCTGGTTTTGGTTAGGATAGAGTTAATTTTCCTCCTAGTAGCTGGTGCAGTGTTGCATTTTGGATTTAGTGTGACAATAATGCATGGATGTTTTCGTTGTTGCTAAGTAATGCTTTTCCTCTAGTCTCTCATGCTCTGCCAGTGAGGAGGGGCACCAGAAGCCAGGAGGGAGCAGAGACATGACACCTGATCCAAACTAGCCAAAAGAGTATTTCATACCATGTCATGCCCAGTATATAAACTGGGGGGAGTTACCCAGAAGGCCCAGGTAACTTCTTGGGTCAGGCTGGGTATCGGTCAGCAGGTGGTGAGCAGCTGTATTGTGCATCACTTGTGTTTCCTGAATTTTCTTTTCCCTTCTCTCTTTTCTTATCGTTACTATTGTTGTTATTATTTCTATTATGATTATACTTCATTTCAATTATGAAGCTGCTCTTATCTCAACCTGTGGCTTTTACCTTCTTCTGATTCTCCTCACCCATCCCATGTGCGGAAGGCGAGGGAAGAGTGAGCGAGATACTGTGTGGTTCTTTGTTGCTAGCTGGAGCTAAGCCATAACAGGCCTCTGATGTGCAAAGTCACTCCAGTTCATGCTGGAGATCATGCCTGATGGCACACTGACACTATCACTGGGCAGTTTTAAGTAGTCCCATACTGTCTTGAACACAATTTCAGGCCTCTCTGCAACCCCACTAACTGCTACTACAACTCTTATCTCCACTAGCTACAGGCTGAGAGCAGTGCTCTTATATAGCCAGCTGAAAGATGCTTGACTTTCTCTGAGCAACTGTCAGTTGGAAACAATAGCTGTAGCTATTCCTAAACAAGAAACAGCCAACAGAGGCTCTCTAACAGGGATTTCATAGAAGCAAAAGCCTCTGGAAGTTAAACCTCACTGACAGCAGCAAGCTAGGAGTTCCCAGGCATTGCAGCTTTCAGATGTTCCCTGAAGCTCTCTCCAGAAGCAGATCAGAAACTGCTGGAACAACTCCTGCCTTTTGGTTGTCTGTCTCTGTCTCTGCTTGCTCTTTCAAGCCCCAAATGCTCAGGGACAAATGAATGGTTTATTCTTTAAAGAAATATCAATGAAATCTTTGGGAAGGATCATAAAAAATACACAACTGTAGAGCAGTTGGACCAAACCTATTCTGAGTTTACTAACAAAATATAATCAGAGGAGACTAACACAGAGTCTGGGAAGTTTCTGAAACATACTAGTAAATATCCAGACCCAGCACTCAGCTAAGACAACCACAGAGTATATAGGATATAAAGCAGACAAGAAATTCCTATAAAGAATGGATAGAAGAACGCTAAAGCAGTATCTCTGCTTTACACAAGGCCACACCTGACCGCTGCATGAGAACAGGGAAGAAATATGGAGATGTTATGGAGCAGCTAAAAGCTAACATAAGGATGGCACAATGGTACTAAGATACGTATTCAGGTATAGGTCAGGGCCTCACATGAATAATAAACATATACAGCAGGAATACTCTTATGAGTATTATAATAATGAAAACAACATCTACGAATGTAAAATTCAAGAAACAGAATTGGAGCATCCAGAGGTCAGAATGAGATTACGAATGCTGTTGTTTTTAGTGCTAAAAGCAGATGGACAGTAGAGCTAAGTCTGATATCAGCTTTTGTTGTCATTAGTTCTAAACATGGTAGAAGGAATCCTATAAGGGAGAAACAACTAGCTAACAAACACAAGCTTTTGGTCTGTCTTAGCCAACCATCCTACCTCATTGTTATTTTTTTGTTTCTTCTTAAAATAATCATAAATACTAAGAAAAAAAATACTGAAGTCTCTAATTTTGCAAGAAAAACTGTCAATTTGAAGAAGCCCTTGAGGGGCAGGAACTTCTCCCTGTTCCCTGATCGGTCTCTCTCTATCGCTCCCACTAGGAGTAATATCTTTTCCTATCTGTTTTGCTAATTCAAATATATATTTCCACTAGTGATTAGAGCTCTGATCCTACAATTAGTTAAACACAAGCTTAATTTTATGTATGTGAATCATCCCATCAACATTCCATATGCCAGAGACTTTGTGGAATTGGTGCCTAAAAATGAAACCATTATGAATTAATTCCATTTCTGGAATGGAGTTGTAGAACCAGGGTTGGAAAGTACACGAAGAACTGAGATGCTGGAACATAAACACACAGCACAACACAGGCCAATGAAGTAAGTGTTTAAAATAAAAATAAAATAAAATAAAATAAATAAAATAAAAATCACACAAGAGTTGATGTTATTAATTAAGAAGCTTCATTCTTATTACCCAATAGTCAATGCTTCTCCAATAAAAACATGGCAAAATGCCTCATTTTAAAGAGCACATGCCAGACTTTGGATTTAACTCTGCCTGGTATTGGCCACTACAGCATCATAAATTTGGTACATTTTTTATTCTGGCCCCATATGTTAGAAGTAGGTCTAAACCCAACTCTTCTCTACGTACGCAAAACAAAACAAGCCTCAGGGATGTATAATTACAATGAAAATCTCTAACACGTACTTAACATTTTACATGTGAAAAACACTTTACAAATATTAACTAAGTAATTAGAACTAAATATAACTAATTAATACACTAATGAATTAATGAGTACTGTGTATGCTGCTTAAAATATCTGCAGCATTTTAGTAATGTTCATTACAACAGTGGTAACTGTTTGTTCTATTGCAGGAACACATGCCAGAATCGGGCTTGCAGTGTAAAAGAAGGTTGCAGAACAACATTTAATAGCTCAGAGTGAAATCTCAATACTTAACTTGCTGAACATGTCTAAAAGTAATGGGCCCAGAATCTCTCTCTTCATTGACATTTTTGCCACCTACTAAAAGACAAGTGAATTTCACAACTGTTACTCAAAAGCAAATGCGACATTACTTCAAAGTTCACTGGAACTTCACACTATTAGTAAATTTAGTCTTCTTCAGTCTTTCCACAAAATATTTTATAGAATCATCGTTTCCTGTGTACTAAATCCACTATTTTAATATATATTAAAGTGTACCTCCTGTTAACCTAGTGCATGCTCAACATTTAATATCACATGCTGTACACAGAGTCACTGTCAGAAGATAGCAAGTAATTTCTTCACAAATATCACCACTTTGTAGTTCCAAACTATCCAAGGCTTGCCTCCTTCTCTAGTTTGTAAATACACTACTCATAGGCTATGGTGGCAGGGGATTATTCTGATTTTAACTTGCATATCAAA